GGCTGAAGGAAAGAAGCCAGAGAGTCGTGGTTAATGAGGCGGAGTCCAGTTGGAGACCTCAGGGGTCGGTGCTGGGACCAGTATTATTCAATATATTCATCAGTGACTTAGATGAGGGAATTGAGTGTACTATCAGCAAGTTTGCTGATGACACCAAGCTGGGAGGAGTGGCTGACATGCTAGAAGGCTGTGCTGCCATCCAGCGAGACCTGGACAGGCTGGAGAGTTGGGCGGGGAAAAATTTAATGAAATATAACAAGGGAAAGTATAGGGTCCTACATCTGGGTAGGAACAACCCCAGGTTCCAGTATAGGTTGGGGAAAGTATAGTGGAGGGGAAAGGGATCTGGGGATCCTGGTGGATAGCAGGATGACCATGAGCCAGCACTGTGCCCTTGTGGCCAGGAAGGCCAATGGCATCCTGGGGTGTATTAGAAGGGGGGTGGTTAGTAGGTCACGAGAGGTTCTCCTTCCTCTCTACTCTGCACTGGTGAGACTGCATCTGGAATATTGTGTCCAGTTCTGGGCCCCTCAGTTTAAGAAGGATAAGGAACTGCTGGAGAGAGTCCAGCATACAGCAACCAAGATGACTAAGGGAGTGGAGCATCTCCCTTATGAGGAAAGGCTGAGGGAGCTGGGTCTCTTTAGTTTGGAGAAGAGGAGGCTGAGGGGTGACCTAATTAATGCTTATAAATATGTAAGGAGTGGGTGTCACGAGGATGGAGTAAGGCTCTTCTTGGTGACAACCAATGGTAGGACGAGGGGTAATGGCTTTAAACTGGAACACAAGAGGTTCCACCTAAATTTGAGAAGAAACTTCTTCTCAGTAAGGGTAACAGAACACTGGAACAGGCTGCCCAGGGAGGTGGTGGAGTCTCCGTCTCTGGAAACATTCAAAACCTGCCTGGATGCCTTCCTGTGTAACATTGTCTAGGTGTTCCTGCTCCAGCGGGGGGATTGGACTAGATGATCTTTCGAGGTCCCTTCCAGTCCCTAACATTCTGTGGTTCTGTGATTCTGTGAAACACTATATGTTCTAAACCAGCTCTATGAAAATCACTTAATCTCCTAATTCCCTGCCAGAACCTGAACTTGGACCTTCATATTTGTCTTTGAAGGCCTGCTAGCAAATCTCGTAGGAACGTGTCTTCTGAGATTTTCTTTCAGATTTACTTTCATATTTCTTTCTGGAGTGTAAATATTGAAGAATATAGCTTCTGAGAATCTTCTGGTCCTAACCAGAGCAAGTACTGAAAGGTGAAAGTGTGAAAGCTGTAATTGAAATATCAAAGCCTGTTCAAAACCTTGGCAGATATTCATTTCAGTGTGTAAGCTAATCTATTCTGTGTAGATGAATGGTATCTGTGAGACAGAATGAATATTTGAAGGAAAAAGTGTGGGGAATTGAACAAGAAATAATAATTAGTTTCAAGGTTTAAAAATAGCAAGCTGGAACAGGCAGAATGCAAAGTCCACCAGCTTTATTCCAGAATATGCAAGTGAAAAAAAAAAAAGAAAAAAGCCTTAATAATCCTTCTGCAAAGCTTGCATTATAGTAATAGCTAGGACATAATTGAGGGAACATGGCTGCATTATGTTTCTCCTCCACATAAAGAGCCTCGCAAAGGTCACTGTCCTCAAGATCTAGCAATCTACACAGACCTACCTAATTTCTACCGATGAGCAATACTGTTGCCCTCCCAGTATGTTTGAGACACCTAAGACACGTGGCCATAATGGTAATGTCTCCTATTTTCCAGATTATGGAAAAGCATTCTAGCTTCATAACTACTCATTTAGAGTATATCTATTTTATTGTGTAGCCATTTTTAGAGGTGAAAACTGTATAAAGGAAAACTTACTGAAGCCACTCCTGCAACATTGTAGAACTACCAAACAGCAACATGAGCATTAAAAAAATAAAAGAAAAATATGTGCATCTATAGAAGCATCAGAGACTCCGAGTTCCTTCCATCCTTTCCACATAACATGAGGAGCTGAAATTGTTAGGCTGTTAGTAAAAGAGAAAATTGTTGCAGGTTTATTGACAATCTCATTAGGTGTGATAAGGTGTATCTATGAACATATTTGTTTTCAAAATTCTTGATCCTGCTCTGCCACTCCACAGAGACTGGTATTCTCCTTAAAAATCCAACAATCTATGATAGTAAAAAGAGCCTTGTCATGGTGGCTGAGGAGATGAAAAGCACAAGGTTGGAGAATAAAAGGAGTAACTTCTCTCTGGTGCTGCCCTAGGGAAAAGCTGAAGTGATAGCAGAAGGAACAAGGAGCGGGAAAGAAATAGATGGTTATTGTCAAGGTGCTGCGTGACTGGGAAAAAACGGTGCATGACTGCTGTTTTGCTGCTCTCTTTACTCAGCACAGCTTCCAAACAGACAGGAATTGAGTTTCCATTCTTCTGGCATCTCAGTCACTCAGCTGAATACATGATTTCTGGCACAAGGTCAGTAACGCTTTAATTTATCTCTGACCCAAAACTGGTGAAGGCTTTGTGGGAGCTGCAAAAATGGTATCAGATGTGAGCTTGAGGAGTTGCTTTATTATTTGAGAACAAATACATTTTGTTGTGTTGTTTTGTTTCTAACACATACAGGTAAAAGGATGGTTATTTCTTGAAAGGTTCCTTTCAGCTAAAGAGGAGTAGCATGACTCACCTAGCCTGAATTTAGGTAACTGGGATAACTGGAGAGGCATGGGAAAATGGCAGGTATGAGAATAAGATAGCAGTGGCTTTTAACCAGCAGAAAGCAGGCTAGCTTAGCAAAAAAAAAATTAAGTGTCTGTTCCTTTTACTACAAAAGACGACACATATTTTCAAGATAAAGATTACATCAGAATATAGTGTTAGGAATTTAGAATATAAATTCCTTTTCTGTGATAATGAAAAAAATAAGCTATTCATTGTTTGCGACACAGGTTGCAAAGTCTTCTTGATTAGGAAAACAAAAAACACAATAGATTTTTTAACTAATCCAGTCTAGCTTAGAGATCCATCGCTGGGACACCAGAAGTTCAGACATGGCTTCTGGGGTGTTTCTGTGATGTAGGGAGAAAGCTGATTCGAACACTCTGCACTTTCTTTGAGCTAAGAGTATGCCGGTGTGCTGCTGGGTGTGCATCTAAGCAGTATGGTTTCCCCTCAGCTGTTTTTGTTCCTTATTTCCTGAACAAAACTGGACTGCACTCAGTCTATATCTAGCAAGATTTTGTTTTCATTTCTCCATCTTCATTCTGTAGAGTGAATAAATTTTGCGGTTGGGCAGTTCTGTGTAAATGATACTAGACAAATGTAAATAAGTGCTTTATGTAGGTTCCTAAGTTCTTAATTAAATGATAAATATTTAAATTTGTATATTTTCAATTGCCTTTAATTTTTCTGTTAAATATTTGACAATTTGGTTGTCTTCACTTCGAAAACTTCACTGTGACAAAGGTTGATTTAGACTTAAATAACTCCAGTGTTCCACAGAGTTAGCCAGAAATGTTTCCTAATTAATCTACACAGCAAATGCATGATATGGTAATGCAAGTGACTTGCTTCTCAGAAGAATGAGTAAAATCCATTTCTCCAAAACCTGTGCTCCTTTCCTTGGATTCACTGCTACTTTTGCCCTCACTGAGATAAATATGCTGGTCCAAATCTTAGCAGAGAATCCAGATTGCTGCCAAACTCCCTGAAATAAGTGTTAAAAGTCAACTCTCTTCTGTTTAATTAACAAGCAGGGAGTACCAGACTAGCTCCATTCAGTTTTAGGCAGTATTTCCCTCATCAGGAAAGCACAAAATCTGTCCAGATTACGACTGAAGAGCAAGACCACCAACAGAAGAATATACTCTTTTTTTTCCAGAGAGAAGATATGGCTGTTTGTTGCTGTGACATATTTGTTTCAGGGAACTTCTTATTCAGAGGAACTCAGAAGAATGAAGAGAACTGTGGATCCTGAAGCATTTATGGGTATTGTAAGTTGTTTGGCAGAGTGACCGGGGGACGGAAGGAATGCATGTCTCACAGCAGAGGGGTTTCTGGGTGTTAGAAATAAGAAGGTAGATAAGTTGCCTTTATTTATCCCATTCTATCTAATCACTCTATATACTACTGCTTTCTCTTCTATTCTCTTGTTTCTGCATGTATAACAACACATCTTAGGTTTCACAGAAATTAAGGCAAACACCTTTCCTTAGTAAGTCTCCAGAATTCGTTTCCTTTTAAATATCAGTGACCAGTTTGCTACTGCTAGCACTATTCTCCTATCTGAAAGAACGACCATCTTGAATGTCAGCATTTCATCATCAAAGAAGCCTCTAAATAACTAGTGTAGGCTTTTGTTTTCTTTTCTTTTTTTTTTTTAATGAATAACAAAGACCAGAAATGGCCAGCTTTTGTGAAGAGCACTTCTTGCCTAGCAAGCTTATTTAGACCTTTAGTCACTTGTTAAAATCTTGAGGTTTGTGTCCCACGTGATGAATTGCATTGAGTCATTCTCTGAGTACAAGCTATTAATAGCAATTTTCTTTTATAACAAAACAGGTTGAATGTTACAGGTCAAAAGTAGTATTTATTTCTGAGTATAAGCCTGGCTGTGCTAGTGATCTGCCTTGTGACTGTGTGAGTGGCTGATCCTGTTTTTTCCATAATGTAGTCAATTTTTCAGTGGTACTCACTCTTTATGTGCCATTCACAGTGGTGAAGCTCTCTGGATTTCTCTGAATAAACGGGTTTCACTTTGTGTTGTAGCAGATCAGGAGCATACACCTAGGCAGCTCCTTGTCTCAGCTACAGGAATCATAAGTTCCTCCTATAGTGATTCTTATGCTGCCAGAATGCAAGGTCTTATGATTGTATGGCAGTAGGATAACACAGGGTTTTTATAACAGATTTTAACTGAATAGTCAAATCCTGGATATAACACAAAGAATCGAAGAAATCTATTGCCGTTTTGGAGTTAAAATACGCAATCTTGTATTGCTTTATTCAGACGCTTAATATATGTAGACTAAATTTCCAGTTGTATCTGCTCTCTAACATTTCCACATGGCAAATACCTTATGCATATATGGAATGTAATTCTGCAAGCAAATGAATTTGTACTTTCTCTTCTAGAAGGAGCTCATTGCTTACAAAGGGTACCCCAGTGAGGAGTATGAAGTGACAACAGAAGATGGTTATATCATTACGATTAACAGAATTCCTTATGGCACACAGAATCGGGAAAACACAGGTATGGGTCTTTAATCTGAGACAAATCAGCCTAGTAGGGCACGCTCTGGGAAGAGATACCTTATATTTGTAAAAAGTCCATCAAAACTTGTACATATGAGTGAAATTTTAGTAGAGAATTCTGCATGTCCTGAACAGCCTGCAAGATCAACATGATTTATGTAGAGTACAACTACTTTTAATAAAAATCCACTATAATATGAAGCATATATCATTATAAAGAAAGTCGATGACTAATATTTTTTTTAAAATAATAGGGTAAAGACTGCAATCTCACCCAATCAAGTTGTTTTGAGAAAGTTGTTCCAGCTTCTAATTTTGCTTTGCTTTCACTTACACCTGGTTAATATCAGTGACTGATTCATATTTTGGGTAAGGGAAACCTCTGCAAACAATCCCACACCTTCATTCTATATATCAGTGTTGAGAATCTCAAGCTAATGTGGTAGAGCTGTACAAACAATAACTGGAGAGTGCCAAGCTTGTTTTTGCTGGTATCGAGTAGATCTTTCCATAAATCCTTACAGAAGCTTAGAAGAAGTTTTCTCTTTACAGAAAGGGATGATTTCTTCCTATGATTAGTTCTCTCCCTTTAAGTTGGTGCAAGAACAAATCCTGATATTGAATATGTGACAGTAAATTCCCTGAACTACCAGAAAATCAAGAAATTTTATGAATTGCTGCTTTGTTTCTTATTTGCTTTTCAGCTTTGAGACCTGCTGTATTTCTCCAACATGGATTATTGGGAGATGCTAGTAACTGGGTCACAAACCTGCCCAACAACAGCTTGGGTTTCATGCTAGCTGATGCTGGCTTTGACGTTTGGATGGGAAATAGCAGAGGCAGTCGCTGGTCCAGAAAACATCAAAATTATTCCATTGATCAAGATGAATTCTGGGCTTTCAGGTAGACTGAATCACTGAAGGGCATCTCCATTGCCCACCTTTACATATTTATTTAAGCTGCATAAGTAAGGTTTTTACATATGCTAGTTTTTACTAAGTCTTCTTTACGCTCACTTTTGCTAAGGTGCCCCTAAACAGGCATGTAAACTTTAATAGTCGTGGAGACTACTTTTCTCTAATTACTGCTAGAAAAGGTTCTTCAAACTAGAGATATAGAAGCAGAGCAACTCAGAGGAACCTGCACAGATCAGGTCCAAGCCAGTCCTCAATTCTTGAGGCTGCTTTGGACGTTATTTAGAAACATTAGTCTGTGTATTACAGTAATACTAAAATCACAGAAGGAGAAAATGTAATTTTTGCACTGATTTTAATGGACATTTAAAAATAGACCTTTTCTTCTACACCAAATTGTATAAAACATGTGATTCCATAGACAGAGCTTTGTTACTAAACCATCAGCTCTTCCTTCTGTGTAGACATTACAATTCAACACGATGCTTCTTGAAGTTATAGTCCTGTTGATGTCAAGGGAAAAAGTACCCTAGAAAACATTAAGTAGTAACTTCCAGTATGGTGCCAGAAAAGTACAGAACTTAAAATAGCTGAATGACTCACTAAACAGTTCACGTTGTTTCTTTGGTGACAAGCCTGTAATAAAAATACGATTTCAAATGGATTTTTAATTTATGCATGCCTACTTTTAATCTCCTGATGGCAGTTTTGATGAGATTGCAAAGTTTGATCTTCCAGCAGCAATAAATTTCATCGTGGAGACAACAGGACAGGAAAAGTTGTACTATATTGGCTATTCACAAGGTACTACCGTAGGTAAGTTACACACAACAAACCAAAGTTCCAGGAAGACAGGAGTAAAATGTGATTTGAGATACTGAATGTATGTGGGACCTTAATTAATTCTTCGCAGATGTGAAAAACACGAGATAAGCTGTTTTCACCATCTAAGCATTTTTAATTTATTATAAAGACAATAAAATATAATAGGCCAAATGCACTGCTGCTGTAAGTGCATTGATTTAGAATTATACTGGAAAATACTGTGGGCTGTGCAAATTGGTTCTTTCCAAGATGTACGGGTGTGCCCAACGGCAGATGGTCAGTTGACCAAAATAAACAAAATAGGAAGATGAGAGTACAGAAGGAGAAGTTGGCCAGTTTGGACAGGACATAAACATACACACACACACACATAAAAAAAGGAATTGGATTCATCAGAAGAAAAACAAGTGCTCCTCTGAATACTATTTGACATGCATGATTGTACATCAGAACCGTGCATTCATTTATGTTGAAAGAAAGCTGCAAAGGAGAAATACAGACAAAAAATTCTCTGTAAAGAAGGAAGTAAAACTACAATCTGGTAACACATGGAAAAGAGAGATTTCACACAAATCTAGGCTGAACCATAGTCTCCAAATAACTAACAAGATTGCTTGTAGGTTTGAAAATGCAGAATAACATCTATGAATACTGAAAACAGTCTGGTGTACAAATTACGACTTTCTTAACTCCTCTTTTTTGTTTTCTCAGCTTTCATTGCATTTTCGACAATGCCAGAGCTGTCTCAAAAAGTCAAACTCTATTTTGCATTGGCACCTGTCACTGCCATTAATTATGCTAGAAGCCCAGCAACAAAACTCCTCTACCTTCCTGAAAAATTGCTCAGGGTATGTGATATCTTGGTTTCAACTCTTTAACCGTATACTTGTTTGTTCAGCTCTTAAAATGGATAAACAGAAAGTATAGGGCTTCATGAAGTCTACTCATTTGCATGTGGGTAGGCTTACCTTATAACTGAAGCCTTTGGAAGTTCAGACTGGACATTAAGAAAATCTTTTTATCTAGGGCAATAGTGCGTCACTGGGATAGGTCACTCAGAGAGGTACAGAGATGCAGATCCTCAAAGGTTTCCAAGATTCCTGTAGACAAAGCCACAACTGATGTGCAAGCTTAGAGCTAAAATATGAATTAGAGTTAACATTTAACATATCTCTTCATTAAAAGTGATGTAATGCAAATTGAGTAATCCCTGAGCAGGCTGATGCAATGGAAAACACCTAATTTCTGTCTTGTTTGTGGGAACATCATCTGGCGAATGAGGAAAATAAAGTGAGAACCACTGACAGTGCTAGAGAAGAAAACTGGATGCAAACACCTTTTAAAAACAACAGCACAATGTACAAGTTACCTTTGTATTTCACAGGGTTTGCTTGGAAAAAGAGAATTCCTTCCTGAGATTGAATGTCTAAAAAGGCTAATAGTCCCTGTTTGCAGCCACGGAGCTTTTGCCAGGCTTTGTAAAAATGTCTTCTTCAGTCTGGGTGGCTGTAACCTGAAAAATATTGATGTGGTACGTATAACTCTTAACAGCTCTACTGAGAGTTTAAGCTTCTGCTCCCAAAACTTACTTTCTATCCTGTGGTGTGAATACTGAATTTTGATTAGTCAGCATCACATTGCAGGAAACACTCTCCAGTACCAGACAGCAATACAAATAAAAATAAACCCCCTACCTGCTCCGTGTTTCCAGGAACTCTTTGCAATGGTTAAAAGAACACACATATTCCTCCTTTTCTTCCTCCTCCAAGCCTTGGACCATTAGGGATGTGTTGAGGCACAGGACACCTCAGGGATACCTGAGGGAGTTAGCAGATACTGGAGGTTAAGACATACTTGGGCACCTCATGCTACATACAGTTGTAGGTCAGACCACCTGGGCAGGAAAATTTTGCTCCAGCATATTAAAAGAAAAAGCCTTGGAATATGTTATTTGAGGAAGGATCACACAACAGCTTGTTAAAGGTGTGTTTTATTTCAAATAGCCATGCATTCCTCAGGTAATTGCAGTTCTTTTGCTGTTCTGTCCAAAAGCAAGCCTCTATCACACAGGACCTGTTACAGACTCCTAAAAAAGCCCAACCTAGTTTGGGGTCTAAATTGCTGACTTTTTATTCTATCCTTTCCAGCAGGCTCTTTTAGATTCTCAGTCATCCTGGGAAGTGTTCTTATTGGGGTTGTTCTTTGGGTGCTACTCCAAACCTGACACATCGCCACATCTGGAGTAACTCTGAGGGAGTCTCTGATCATGTCACTTTCATTTCTGTTGGTTTTATTGATACATGACATTGATACATATTGTAGCAGACATTTTTATGTATATCTGAATAGAAAGGAGGAAGAGGATACTCACTAAATATTTTCTTTCAGAACCGAATCAATGTGTATATGGCACAAACCTCCTCTGGAACTTCTGTGCAGAACATAGTCCACTGGAGCCAGGTACTAGCAAACTCCTGGAATACAAAATAGGTGCTCACCTCTGGCTGAAAGGTACAGAGTGGGTATAGCTGATATCCTGCTGGGAAGCCATTGCTAACTTCTGGGAAACACATGCTAATAGTAGTTTACAACTGAAATCTCAACTCTAAACACTATTTTTCATCAATCCTTCTTTTGCCAGCAGGATAGAAATACCCAGTGTGTTACAGGTACATTTGAAACCAACAATGAAACACTGTATTTGTGTAAAAACATGCCTGCTGGAAGCTGCGTATGCAGATGCATATATCACTCTTCTTGTTGTGATCCAGTAGCTTTCATAGACATTGTTCAAAGTTCTGTACAGAGCTTACCTTAGGAAATTAGTTACTTTTCCCATGTGGAGTCAAGAAATGTAGAAGATATAGGTTGCTTTGTAAAATACCAGATTTTACTAGTAAAAGCCCGTGTATTTCCACCTCTTGCTTTCAAAGGTCAGTGTCTGGACAGCAGTAGAATTACCAATAATACTTTATCTGGTAGAGTCATCCCTTACTTACAAAGTACTGTCATAGTACATCCCCAGCAGCAATGATGATGGAAGCTGCCTTCCTGTCTTTGGGCTCACACTTTCAGGATTCAGAAAGTTTGAACTCAGTCTCAGAAGCTGCTGCATGCAGGGCAGGTCTCCCAGCAGCGCTGCAGGCTCTGGAGCAGAGCAGGAGGTGTCTGTGAGCACAGTGACCTTGCAAGAGCCTTATTGCACTTTTCACACAGCAAACACATGGTTATGATTCAGTGATAACTGCACAGTCATTTACTCAAAACTAAAAAATACTTTTGGCTGTGAACTTACATTAAGTGTTAGATTTAAGTTGCTTTTGTAACTGTTACCTCAACCTGTGAAGAAAAAGGGTTACAAAGGCTCAGCGTGGGCAGCTCTGCAAACCGATTCAGGTTTAATTCAGTGTCTAGGCACAGAATGGCAAGTACAAACACCAGGAGTAATACTCCTAAGCCTTTGTTGTAATTGCTGTTATAACTATGAAAGGCATTAATAGATACCTTACCTTCAATATTATGATCCCATTGATGGTATCTCTCAAAGTAGTAAAGACCCACACTGTAGGCAAAGCCAAGGAGCACAGAGGAAGAAGTAGAAATGGTGACTTCTGTATTCAAACCAGAAAGGAAGTGAAAACATAAGAAGGAAACACTCTCAGAGCTGAGTGATGGCAACATGACTGTCAGATGTACATAGCAGCAGCAGTGAGGGCAACTTGCTGGATGCAATTGTTAATATTAATTTTACAAACTGTAACAAATTGCCTGCAAGCACATCCTTGTGTCTGCAGGAGCCATGATATTTTTGGTTCTGACAAAAACATTTAACTCCTTTTCATCAGCTGAGACTTTTAATTAATTTGCTGTTGGCTCTTTTGTAGCTCTTAGAAGAACTTCTGTTGAGGCTTTGGATTGGAGACAGAGGCTCAACAGGAAAAGAACCCACGACCTTCCTGAATAATGGTTTTATAACTACCCTTTTCTTGTTCAACCTCTTAGGAGGCCCGTTCGGGAAAGTTCCAAGCTTATGACTGGGGCAGTTCAAAGAAGAACATGGAAAAATACCAGCAGGTATGTTTTTGTGAAATAGTATTTTCACCCCTAGACAACACAGAAGCACACAAGAAGAGAGCAAGGATGTGGTAGGAGACACATTTTCAGAATACAGATAGTTGAAAGTATTACTACCTTCCAGTTTGGAAGTCAGCAGAGAAAGCATGCAAGCACTAAAAGCAATAATAAATTTTTAAAAGAAAAGAGAAGGAGAGACAGAGAGCAAGACTAAAGCTTTTCAATTGAATAATCAATAGGAATAAGAGGAAACAAGGGCAGAAAAGACAGAAAATGAATTTTGAAAAAGCAAAGTATATCTAGAGACATCTTCCCTACTAACATGACTGAAACAGTTGCCAATGCATGAGAACTCAGGGAGACAATATTAGGAAGAGGGCAATTGGAAAGTTAATATCTGACAACCAGAGACAAAAAGATTTTGTCCTCAACCAGTCTCTGAGGACACTCTCCTCCATTCAGGACTCTAATACCGTGCTTGACCCTCCTACTCTTTAGGTTTCCACAACAGCCTATTACTAAGTATCACATGTTTTAATGATGACTTGCGTGAAATGCAACTTCCTTTGGTTTGTCTTGAATGTGCTTGTCCCTGGAAAGTCACTGGATGCCTTCTAGGTTTTGTGTTATGAGAAGTAATGGAATAATTATTTCCTGTGGTCTTTCCTCATGCCGTCTGTGACTGTATAAGCCTGACTGTTGTCTCTGCACTGGCCTCATTTTTCCAGACTCAGGAGTCCTAAGCTACTTCGTCTCTCCCCCTACAAAAGCCTCTCCATCCTCCTTTTCATCATTGTCATGCATTGTGTTTTCTAAGTACATCATGTATGTCTTCTGCAGCTGACCCAGAGGACCAAGATGGGGATTCATCCAGAGGCATTGTGACATTTTCTGTCTTGTTCCAGGTTCCTGCACTCTGAATTCCTAGCTCACACAGCAAAGACCCAACAGTAACTTCTCCTTTGGCTGTGCTATCACAGAATCACAAAATGTGTTGAGCTGGAAGGGACCTTGAAAGTCCACCTAGTCCAACCTCCTTGCAGTGAGCAGGGCCATCTTTAACAGATCAGGTTGCTCAGAGCCCCATCAAGCATGATCAACCTTGAATGCCTCCAGGGATGGAGCCTCCATCATCTCTCTGGGCAGCCTGTTCCAGTATTTCGCCCGGGTCATCGCACAGACAGAAAAGGGAAGCAAAAGCAAAGACACTTTCTTCCTATTTGCTTTAAACACCTCTACTTTGAACAGTGACAAAAGAAATCCTCAAACGCATGTTTAAGGTTTGCTGTGCTTTCCTGGATGTTCAATCCTGTACTGCTTTGTGTTTTCCAGGCTACTCCTCCTCTCTACAATGTAGAAAAGATGACTGTACAAACTGCCGTATGGACTGGGGGACAAGACTTGCTTGCAGATCCCAAGGATGCAGACATTTTACTGTCTCAGATTAAGACACTCATCTATCACAAGAGGATTCCTAAATGGGCACACCTGGATTTCATCTGGGGATTGGATGCACCTTTGCACGCATACAGTGAAATTATTGACCTAATGCAGAAGTATCCTTAACGCACAACCAGCAGTCACATCTGAATCATTCCATGGCACTTGCTTTCACTGAATATGAACAAAATCTTCTTTTGCATCAGATGGCTTGTGCAGGAGTCAGGGAAAGGGTTCTTGCTGATGTTATTTTCACACCACATGTCTCTTCAATGCCTTTACATCCTGATGGTGCATTTCATGTTTGATGGCAACCTCATGGGTCAGTAATCACTTTTGACTGATACAGCCTAGATTCTGCAATAGCAATGTTTTGCTAACAGAAGACAGGGTTTTCTTACAACCTGCTCACTTCTTTAGATCCTAACAGTGATAAAAGCACTGACTTTCTCTAAATATGGTCAGTGGTCTCAAGAAGTTTTCCTTTCTTCATATTATTTCTCAGTTTATTGGGCTGACAGTTATTGAAAGGCATAGTGTAAGCCTAGACTAATTCTAGCAGTTATGGTCTTGATTAATTCTATTATGAGTTGATGACCAGAAAGTAAAAACTTTGTTAACCCAAAAAACTCTCTCATGAGAAGAACATGGTTTGTCTTTGTTTGAAATAGGGCTGCTCACTTTTTTCATGAGGAAGAGCAAAGGACATAAAATGGGTAGACCCAGCAGAAAACAGTAGCTGGTCTATGGTTCAGGTATGCACCCAGAAGATGGGAAACTTGTGTTCAACACCCATCCTGAGACAGAGAAATCTTGGCAGACTCAATCTGCTGACATCACTTTCAGAATCTGTGTACATGAACTGTCCAGGGTGGGATACAGGAGCTGATTTCATCTTGGTGATGACAGCACTTCTGTGGGACACTGTGGACCAAAGTTACACTCTGAATCTAGCAGGAACCTCACATCTCTTACTATTTCACATTGAAGCTACTGGCTACCACAGAGCTGAACTGTCCTAACCTTTATCATAGCTCTAAGAAGCCTCTCTGGGGTTTAAACAGTAAAACAAAAGCACCCAAGCATTGCTAGAAAGAATCCATTATATATCTCCCATGGGTATTTAGAGCACTTTGCCCGCTAGTGGGAAGGGCTGCTTTGTAAACAGTGCTGAAGAAGTTGTCATCCTATTTAATTTTCTGGGAGAACTCTAGCTCTACCAATCTTGTTTCTAATAGGTAGTTACTGCACAAAGATTCTCATTTGAAGGGTAGTCACCATGGCAATTAGTTACAGCATTACGGGTTGCTGTCTCTTCGCAATGAAACACCATTAGCTTCACTGTGAAAAGAAACATAGTGCATTTAGAGGTTTTCTTTCAGTGTGACACCCTCATTTTCCACTTGAATCAAATATGGACATGGTCCAAGCGCATGATGTTAACCGGGGCAGGTGTGGCTGTTACACTAAGGCAGTTCACTGGTGACACTGTATGACCAAAGGATCAGTGTCTCACTCTCCCAAATGGTTCATTAGCTGAACAAGTTAACCATGGCTAGTGGCACTTCTGTCCCATTTCCTTTCAAGACAAATAACAGGCTTGTTTCCCACTGCTGAAGCCTGTCTTTTTTCCCTGTGCTCCATGAATGTAAGCAGAGCTTGATCCAAACAAAACAGCTCAGCTCCAGACAAGAACATGGTATACACTCACTGCAAATTCCTGGGGACAAATACCCTCCAGAGAGTCAGCCCTTCAGCTAACTCACTGCTTGCAGAGGAAATGCATGAGGGCCTGGGATCTACTTTATGAGTTTTTATTACGTACAATAGAAAATGCAATTGATATATTGATATATGAATATATTGATAGCTGAAAGAAGCCAGAACATCCTATAAATTCACCTGGGAAAGATATTGCGGTTGTGCAGCTGTCTTGCATCCTGGGAGGCAGGGTGTTGCATTTTCTGTAAAATCAGTAAAAACAGGTTGGGCAAGCAGCATTGGAAACATCACAGGGACTGTTGATCCCACCTTGGGACGTGAGGAGGGACTAGACGTCATGTTGCAAAAGCCCTTCTGGGTGATCAATTTATAGCTTGATGAAAGTTATTGTCAGAGACGTCAGAAGAGATAAGTTATAATACTTTTCACTGAGAAATTTCTATATTATATTTTTTCACATCCCAAACAATATTCTCTACTTTGTGCATAAAATAGAACTGTTACTGTGGCTTCACTGACATCCTGTTCTTATTTCACTCCTTTCCTTCCCCCACCATCCAAAGGCATCATATTATTTGCAGTAGCGTTCCAAATAACAGATCCCCTTTATCTGGTGTTCTAAATCTCATGATGGAACACAAGTTCTTCTGAAGACACTTATGAGTTAGTTGGCTGAAAAGGCTGGTATTCACACAGGAAGATTTCACTGTGTTTCTAGCTGCCTAAGGACACAGAAAGTGTCCCTCTGTCTATGGTCATTGACCAGTTTCAGTGAGGACTGAACCCTCAGGTTGACTACGGTTACTTCAGCAGTTAGACAAAGATCTCCAGAGACACTATGTTGTTAGAGTCGTTGAAAATGGCTTGGGAGAAACAAGAACGTTTGTTCCCTCACTGGGAGAGAGGTTCAAGCCTTCTTTGGCACCAGAGGATCTCCACAGAAGCCAAGTCAGCTCTGAGCAACTGATATAGCATAAGCTGGGTTTCATGACTTGTCCTGTTCACTGAAAAACAAAATTAGGACAGCCTGTAATTTTAACATAAACCAAATGATAAGCTATAGCAGAGACAGTGTTCTTGAGGGAGTTTGTTGAAAGAAGCTGGGTACTTCCTCCTCTTCATCCTAAAAGATTGCATTTGCAGCAGTCTCTCAGTTGGGCAACAGTACACATAAAGGTCTGCAACAGCCTCAGGGAACTGGAACACACAGGTCCAAGTTAAATATCCTAACCACTGATTTGTAGGTACTTCTTAAACTCTCTTGCTCCACGGTCCACTTTGGGTTTGTGAATTTAACAAGATCTTTTACATCAGAAAGATTTCGTCACTTCTGAAGAACTGCCAAGTCAACACTTAAACACGCTCTACAATACATCCCGCCAACTCATGATACTCACAGCTGCTACCCTGAAGTGCTCACTGTGTTTTGACTTCCTTTTATCTGCGCAGGCTTCTACCAGTGAATCAGTCTGCTAGTGGAGACAGACCAGCAGCTGTGGCAGAAGACACAAGCAAGGCAGTCAAAGCAGAGGTAAGCTACTTGTATATACATGTTCATGGTCTCTCTCTTTCTCTGTTGTCCATGTCCATAAAGATTTGCAGTCTTGCTTTAGTGCAGTTGCTTGTAAGAACAGTCAGATTTTTGCCTCTCTGATCTGTAAGCCTATTGCTATGCACTGAAGGGGTTGTTTGCTCAAATTAGAAGACGGCATTCGATCTACCCAAAAGGAAAAAAAAACCCAAACCAGCAACTATGAATATTTCCCTGCTTCTTTTCTTCAACATGAGAACAAGGGAATAAAAGTCCCACTACTACAACAGTGTGTGCAAACTGGACCTCCTGTACTTGCAGTGTAATGCATATGTATGTTTTGTTAGTGAGCAAGGGTGCAGATTGTCATATGCATGTAGTCATATTCGCTTCTCTGGTTGGTGTGTGTGTATGACTTACATCTTTTACGAAATAAATTTTAGACTGCTTAAAGTACAAGGACAGATGAATTTCTGAAGGGCCTGTATCTTAATTTCACTAAAGCTTAAAAACACCTAAAGAACTTTCAAGGACATTTCTCTCTCATGGATGAATTTCTGAAGGGCCTGTATCTTAATTTCACTAAAGCTTAAAAACACCTAAAGAACTTTCAAGGACATTTCTCTCTCTGCCTTTCTCTTTTTTCTTTCTAAATATGTTCTTTTATGTCACTTTACCATCACCAGTGTTTCCTTTTGCCTACAACTGTCTTTACTCTTGAAGCTTAAGGGAACAGTGGCTTGCCAAAACTGATATTACTTAGCCTGCTGTATCTGATTTAAAAAGCAAATATCTGGAAGTCCGTGAGCCATGCCAGCTAAGCCAGGTGATCATAGAATGCACTGAGAAAAGTTTGCCTTAACAAGACGTATAATTTAGCCTCTGCTTTGCCTCAACTAGTCTTGGTGGTGATTTGAAAACAAGCTGATGTTAGCAGAACTTTTTCTTCCCCAA